TATATAGGCTTCTACCTATTCCGAATGCCCCCAAATCTATCCCGGTGAGAAGAGAATTAATGTCATGTCAAATGTTTTTCTTAATCTGCAGCCCTCATTAAAATAATCCTGCCATTAATATTTTTGTTCAGGCAGTTCCTGTTACAGGGTGACAACGCTATCCCCGTCTCCCAGTTTTGCTCCTGCGTTGTCACCCTATCGCAAGAGCTTCTGATGGAGACCGCAAGTGGCCATTTCAATGCACATAATGCAGGTATGAGGAAACCCACCCGCAGAAATGCCATGGAGCCATCACATTCTTATCACCGTTATGGTTCCCGGGTCCCAGGACACTATTAACCACGCCCATGGTCCACATTTTGTCTAGCAACTTGTCCCGGGCAGGCGCATCCAAATCGCGGCCTCTTTCCAAGTTGTAAAGCTGGCCAATAGGAAACAGTTGGTGCGGAGCTAGCGGTGATGTCACAGCTAGCTCTTCCCAATTGTTTTTTATTTTGCCGGCATCTGTACGATGCTTCATTATGCGGCGTGTGCGTGCGTCATTTATTTTTAAATAATTTTTTCTTTCTTTTATTTTCTTTCGAATATTTTTTTTCTAATTTTCCCTTTTTTTGTTGTTAAATTTTTAAAATAATTTTTCAACATTTTTTTCCCCTCATTCATTTGACTTATTTTCTATTCTGCTCGCTTACCTCCGAGGTACCGAGGAGAACAGCCGAGCCGAATGCCGTTCGGCGGCGCTCGGCTATTCACTCACTGTCGTTCGGCCCCCTATGGGAATATATGGGAATAGGGGGGTGAACGGCAGGGATCGAGCAGCCGGAGCTTCGGCGCGGCCGATCCAGATGTTGGATCGGCTGAGCCGAACTCCTTCTGCACTTCGGGTCGGCCGAACATGCTGAGCATGTTTGACTGACTGAAGGTAGCCGACGTACGGCTGATGTTAGCCGTACAAGGCTGAATTGAATAGCCGAACGTCGCTCACTTCGCTTCGGCTCGGTTATTCGCTCGGCTGCCTTCGGCCTTAGACTTGTACAGTCCCAATAGGGCCATTTACATTGTGGTGACTCAAAACAACCAATGGCCAACTATTATATAAAGAGCGAATGTCTGCCGGCCCTTCATTGTTGGTGGGCGTCCATACTGGAATGTTAAGGCCCACCTGCTGAAATACCATAAAGTGACACTGACTGGGAGGCTACTTTGGTAATCCTTAAAGGAGAACTATGTGGTTAAGTCATTTCCCCATAGTTCTCCTTAGGGTAACGGGAGGACACAAACTAGCGTCCTCCCGTCACCCTAAGCTCAGTATATAGGGAGCTACAGCTCGCGGTATACGGAGACGCCGCAGCTGAAGCGGATCCCGACAATTATGTCTGGATCCGCCCAGCTGCGTGACTGACAGCTGGCTCTGCCTATCTAGAGGCAGAGCCAGCTGTACCCGCCCCGCCCCCCCCTCCGTTCCGCCAGTCAGCGCCGG